ATAAACCACCACCGCAACCAGATAATGTTCCACAGATCAAAATAGCAACCCAACTTGTGTTCAATAAAGGATTATCATGCTTGCCAAATCGAATTCTATCTACACCCGATGAACATATTGCATTAGCACGAATAAAACCATCAGCCGTTAAAAGAATTGGATCAAGAATGAATGAAGGTATTGAAGTAAAATATTGGTGAAAATTTGGGAAATAAAACATTATCGAATATACCCATCTGGAAATACCAAAAATTAGTAATTAAAAGACATCTGATTGAACTATTTGAAAATAAATATTTACAATCTAGTAAAACTTACAAATATGTTGTCATGGTTGTATTTGAAGCGAGCCAACTTGGCGCATTACCTGTTAGAATGGCTGTTCAAATATATATTGTGTTACGAATAAAATATTAAGAAACAAACAGCAAAAAAAGTTATAAAATTTGCGAATAAATTTACCGCTTGTTGTAGATCCACCAACAGTCATAACCATTAAAGAAACAAAGCCCTGCAGCCACGAAACTTGTGCATTTTTTAAACAAGCTTTATACTTCAAATTGACATATATCGCATGTAGAGTTACCAAAATGCTAAAAGGAAGAAGTGATTCATGCCAAACTAAACTTGGCAACGATAAAATAAATTGTGTTGAATTTAACCCAGCTGTTTCTTGTTGACTTGTCATTTGTGACTAGTATTGTAGTATTGATAGTTGTCGGGTATCATCTTATCTGAATCACGTTTAAAAATTGTGAAGCGTAACATCTGAACATGTGATCGACTAGCCCAATCACGAATTTCCGATCATCCGGATTAAACCGCAAAAATGCTTTAGCATTTAAGGCGTTAGTAAATTCTATCAATATTTATGTAACATTACGCCGCTTTACTATAATTAGCACTTAAAGTCTTTGTTGTTGGCTAACCGAATTTTGCTCGACAATTAACCACGTGTTACATAAATCCAGACGGAGCAACAAAAGTTATAACGCAAACGGAATCAGGATAAAACAAGTTCGAAGATGGAAATGTATAACTTTATATCTTAGTCTGTGCAAATAAAAAAATTTGCATCGAATTTGATCAGGTAGTTACCAAGATATAAGTTTATAATTTTGAAATTTTTATTTTTCTCTTCTTAATAATAACACGTGATTGCACTGTCCGTATATTAGAAATCGATTATAGCCAACTATCCAATATCGAAATAGCAATTACAAGATCAATGATACCATATAAAACAACTAGCCGATTAGTCAACCAATCGATTAACTAACTAATCGATTAATCCCCGATTTCGCGGAGCTACTGATCTTAAAAAACGTAAATTATCTAATGATATCAGATATTCATTGTGAATAAGTAACGTGACTTCCTAAAAAGTATATAAAAATTTTTTTATCGATCGTGTGATTCTAACCGTGTAAACACAACACAACGATAAAAAATCACTAGATGGAACAAAAGCGCGTAAGTTTTCATATCAAAACGCGAGTTAATATATTATTTAACGCGTTATATTTATAATATTATATTAGGATGCTTATCTGGCAGATAAACTTGATTACTTTGAAAATTTAGTAATATATGATGCAGTCAGGAAGTTGGCCTTACAGAAAGATTCAAGAATAAATAAACCAGTTGACATAAATGAAAAGGTAATATATATTTATCGTCGGGGATGATGTTGAAATTTGAATTTTATTTTAATATGAAATTAAAAATTTTTTGGGGTGATTTTTTTATGGTTGGATTAAGATTTAG